ATTAGTTAACTTTCAGCCACACCAGCCTCTTATTTCAGAATGTTCACTTTGTCTGGTTTTGTTGCAGTCTGCCCCATTTATGCAAGATAGATGTAATGGATCAAGCAGACCACAACAGACAAGCAGACCATAAAGCAAGCAACAAGCAGATGCCCACCATAGTTGTGTGAGTTTTACCCCTTCTCGGGACTACTGGAAGTCTCCCATACTGCTTTTTCAACATCAGCTGCGACAATAATTACCTTGAACTTTTGCTTCAGCCTGATAGCACCCTTTTTGATCCCTCCTGGGCCAATTTCCAATATAACTAAATCCTTCCAAAGTTTGTCAGTTTCCCTTTGAAAGGAGAATGTAAAATCTTCTTGTTTACTGCGGTATTGGTAAAAACCCAGGAAGTGATAGTTATCAGGCGTCGTTTCTTTGAAGTAAACACTGTAAGTATCCATTGTAACGCGTTTAGTATGAGATTGAAAAACGCGAGTATTTAAATATAAATAGACCTAGCCATATGATACAGTCACGGGGTTGTATCGCACAAATAAATCATACGCAGGAGACTGAGTAATTTAGTGCTATCAATGAAAATATATTATAAGCTTGCTTTGGAGGAAAATGGGGGTCAACTGCGACCCCACGATAATTCTTAAATAATCTCTATTAAACCAGTGCATATTAATATAAAAATATTATAATTACGACCACAGTCAAATCATTTCCATTTAAGGGTTAATTGATTGAATTTTGCCGATTATTCGACTAATAAAATATACGTTATTTTTTTCTCAATCGAAAAAAACAGAAGCAAGAGATATGTCAGCGAACAGCTAAAAACCCTCAATTATCTAACTCGGAATTAGCCAAAGAATATCGTGTAGGAAAAACAACCGCACAGAAATGGATGAATATCGATATAAATAAACCTTATGCTAAGCTGGAGAAAGCCCTATCATTATGGACGTCTGATTGGATATTCGTTAATTCGACCGATGACCCCTGATCGAATTATTATTATCGGCAGTTGACTGTAATACTGAAAATTTTATGAGTAATAAAGTCCGTGATAAGCTTTCTGGGAAATCTGGAACTGTTTAATTTTTTATGTAGTTGTGGCATTACACCATTTTTTGTGAAGGCAGTTATTTTCGTTACATACACACTGTCTAAAACAGCTTTGGCAGTGTCAATAAGATTTTTTATTCTATTATAGCTTGGAATCAGGTAACATCTAAGACAATAATGCCTTCTTTTATTATACAGGCACCCTCCTAAGATTGATGATAGATTGTATTATTATCTTCCTATGCAGCAAAAGAACGAATCAATCGAAAGCTCCTTCTTCGCCAATGATTAGTTGATTTCCAAACTGGGTAGTGGTTTATTTCCTAGAAATGCAAATCCACTCATAAAAACTTCCCTATAGAAGCAGGTTGGATAAACCAAACTATGGCAATTAGCTGTGTGTGATTTATTTCTTTTTTTCCGAGGTGTTCAAACAAAAGATGATTCGGTTTTTTATATTAAGTTTTATCTAAACAAATGAGGGATCGATCCGTATTTGCATTATACAATAGATTACCATGTTTTTCACCCATATATTAGTGACCTTTGCCTAATCACCTATCGCATAAATAACAGCATAAGCAAACCCTGCTGCCGCTGCGCCCACAAGAGCAGTCTGTATAGCATTCCAACCTGCACGTTCAGGAGCAACGTAATAAGATTTAGCGTATCCAAAAATCAACAAACATATTAGAGTCACTATGCTACTCCAAATCAGACCAATTTGAGTGCTATCGAAAAAGAGATAAGGTAGTAGGGGTATCAAACCACCGACAAAATAAGAAAATCCAATCGTCAACGCGCTGATCTGTAAGCATGATAGAATAGAAAGTATAAGTGAACGAGCGGAAGGCAAATCTTAGAGTGAACACGAAAAAAAAGTCAAAAAATTATGATTTCAAATAATAAATCTGTTTGACTATGGATACTCTATTATCTTACCCATGATCTTCTCGGATCAGGCTTTTCGAGGTTAAGTTCAAAGCGCATCATAAAATCAACAAATTTTTCTGGATTTGCGCGTAGTTTTTCAATCACAGGCGCTAAACTCTGTCTATCAAGGCCATAGGGTTCAAGAATATCTGTTCAAACAAAAAATAAAGACTTGAAAGTCGTCCAATGATCCAACTCGTCCGACAACTTAATACATACCAATAATCTCTTGGATCTCCTCTTCCTCACTCTCTTCTACTTCCGTCTCCTCCCGGCGCCGTTCGGTATAATAGTGATCAGCTTCACTTCGTGCAGCAAGATAACCGCCGAGTCCCATGGATATGGCACCAGATATGAGTTCTACATAACCAATGATGTAAAATAGTTACTAATCATAAGCTAGACGCAGAACAAGCTCAGGTTGCTCTTAGTTATGAGCTCAGAGAGAAGATTGAATCGACATGAACAACTCATTAAGTTACTTCAGTACAGCAAAATAACGATACTTATTGTGGTTTGTCTTCATAATAATGTCATTTCCACTTCTATCTATAGGCTACTTACCAGCAATACCTCCTAGAACAACAAAGTCGGACTTCCCAGTGGAAGCCAAACCCGCCGCAAGAGCAAAAGGCACCTAGACATACACAAGCTTTAAAAACAACATTACGATACAACCTATCAGCTAGCCTACCCATCCGTACTCACAGTCAGTCCATCACTCAATCCTATTACGATATCTCGTAAAATTTCTGGTGACTCAAAATGAGTCTCATTATGGGGCCTCGAGTCTTGATTATCAATGAGTGGCTCAGATTCTCTTGAAGTTCTCTTAAAGAAAAGTGGCAGGAGAGAAGACATTGTTAAATTTTTTGGCTGGAAGCAAATTGACTTGTAGCATTTATTGATTACATCAGCTACATCAGAGATGGTGATTGATTGGTTTGATGGCGGAAATTCTCGATTTTAAATATTATTTATTAAGATTAATATTTTGTAAGATTAAGCTCCATTGTCCTACGTTACACCGAATATATTTACCAATTTTTACTTGCATTCCGGAGCCCATTACTTTCTCCCATTTCCGTCATGAGTTTCCCATACCCTTTACCAACTACGGGATCGATATCATTTGCTGATTTTCTCCAAGATGAAGATAACAAATATTTTACCGAGATATCAGAGGCGACTGCTCAGAGAGGCAGATTGAGACTGGCGTTGAAGGAAGCTAAAAGAGCAGAAGGCGCGAAAGACTACAATAAAATTATACAAGTGGGTTAAGTAATCAATGTATCTTGGGGAGTAAAACCCGTCTTACGTGCAATAATATTTTTCAAGACAATTGAAAAATAACAATGAAGCTAATGTCAGATATGCATAGGCAATCGATGATTATCTGCCGTATCTGCTGGCGATTGTCGACTGTTTGAAAAGCGGTGAGATGAAATCGAAGAAGGAAATAGGTAAGAGTCTGCTACGTTATTGTGCTTGTTCGTTTTTGTTGTTGTTATAGTCGTCGTCGTCATCGTCGTCGTAGTTTTTGTCTGTTTGTACTAATTTAATAATTTAATAATTATTCAAGAAACATCATGGCGCTGCTCGTTGAGTGACTCAATACTCAGAGAGAAACCACGGGTTGTATGCAAAGGAATATATTATGAATTGATATTCGTTCTATTAACGTACGGATACGCTTGTTCCAATTGGGCATCAAGTATTATAAGCAGACAGTCAGAACAAGAAGACACCAATTTCGTGGCAAAACAAGTATGTATAGTATAGAGCGTGTAGTGTAGAGTATTGGGTGAAAGCAAAGGTGTTGGAAGAAATTATTGGAACTTACGAGAGGTGCTTTATTAATAGCGCATATTTATTTTTATGAGGCTGCTAGTCTACTATGTAGAGCTGCGGGTGTGTTCGCGTATATTTCCGAACAAATATGTCCAAAGTGGGAGAACCCACCTTCATCGAGGCCCCCTGACGTCTACAGTGATATTTCAGCTTCCCTATCAAAGTATATATATTGCTTTATTTTGAATTATGCACTTGACGTTTGTTATTGTATTAAAAATCTGCATTGCCTTTAATAGAATTGTCTTGGCGGACGCTTCATCCATTGCCATTCGAAAACATGCGACACAGAGATCGTCGTCGTCTCTTTCGGGAAAGCTGGCAATAGGTATAGCAGGACAGTATGAAACTGCCAATGGATTAATTAAAAGTCTTAAAGATCCGTCTAAAGTCTGTACGGAATTTAAGAAATACGTCGCCAATGGAGGGCAATTCCATCAGGTATGCTGGTTCCATCTACTGATTAATCTCTACAACACGCTATCGATACCTTATTGGGGTTTACATTCTTATTGTCGTAAATGGTGTCCCATACACTACCACCACCAAAATGAAACTTGTGCGCTTCCTCGCGAGTCATTGACATATCGAATGAATCACTTTTATCTCAGGCACTTGGCAAGAAATTCCTGGCCAAAGATGCCAGTGAACACCAGTAAGCAAACTTATTGAATTATAAGGGGGGGAATGGTCATCTTCTTTTCAATTGATGGATCGCTAATTCTATTACAACAGAGCGAATGGTCAGGCAGTCGGATTCATAACGGAAGCTAAAGATATATTTCGACAACTGTCGAAATCCAAGTCTTCGGCCATTGCTGAGCAAGCGGCTCAAGAATACGCTGAAACAAGTGAATTATGTCATACCTACACCAAGAATAACAATACGGTGAGCGTATTATGTGGTAACAGTATATGATGATTCGTGTAAGGAAGTTGCATGAAACAACTGACGATTTTCTCGTAAAACAGTATTCATTCGATAAAATCCCTTCCAAAGCCGACTTACAGACACTTACACCGGGAGGACGCATGGCTTTAGACCTGACCAAGTACACGCCGCCAAGGTCAGCGTTTGGGCCCAGAAAAGATGAGGTTGGCGAAAGTGTTGATCTCCTGGGTGGAAGGTATTACTAAATTGTGATCGACACTTTTAAATTATCACTCGCGTCTCAGATTTCTTAGTCTTGGGAATAATAAATATTCAATGTATTATCATTATCGTATAATAAATTAATCTTCTAAATCAAGGAATTTCTTCAATTCCCTTGCCTCGACTGCTTCTTCGAATTCTTTGTATAACTGGAATAATGGATATTGAGCATGATAAATTATTATCGTAAGATGTCAGATAGACGTTCTCGATATCACATCATTCTTGAATCCAATGCCGTAACAGTGTTTTACTAACCCCTTTAAATTCACCATCTGTAAATAACTGAGGTAAACCGACAGCTCCTCTATTTCTTCTTTTCATGTATTTCAGTGCGTCTTCATCAGCAGCAACATCAACGAATTCGAAAGGAATCTTGTGAATGGTTAACACTGTCTGAACCCATTCTTGATTTTTCTTGACCTTTAATGTATAAACATAGAGCGTTAG